TGTAACAAACATTTGATGCAAATCCGTGGATCGAGCAGGCCGATCCGAAGGTGTAATTACGTGTATCGAGCAGGGTTGATCCAAAGGTGTAACAAACATTTGATTAAGCAGGGTCGATCTGAAGTGTGAAAACTCATGAATCGGGAAGGGCTGATTCGAAGGTGTCAATTGCTGAATAATGCTTCATTGAATTCAGGCCATGAGACCGACTGCCTATGAAGGAGGTGGATAGGCCCACTCATCCTTTTTAAATAAAAAATGAAAAGACAACAAATATTTAGATTGATTTCACCTAAAAGTAGTAGCGTGTGGGATGAATTGCATTCCAACCGTTGCTGATATCTTTGCCTTTGGGAGTTTGGAGCTGGTAGGCGCCCTTCCCTGCTTTTTTGGTGATGTTGTAGGGCCTGCAATCGATCTGAGCTCTGGCCTCCTGTCATACTGCATTCAGTCATATCTGGCGTGAGTTGCTCGGTTTATCTCATCTTCCTCCCACCTTATCTGGATTACAGCTCAAGCTAGAGGGTCTTCTATCGTGGTGCAACCCAGCTTTGTCAGTTCTTTGTATAGTTCTCCATCGGGGAGGAGACCCTTCTTGAAGGCGTCTACAACTGTCTCGGGGTTACAAGAAGGGATGGAAATCTTCTCGTTGTTGAATCTGCTGACATACTCTTTCAATGGCTCTCATCTCCTCTGGTGTACTCTGTATAGATCGGCCGACAGCTTCTCAAGTTTCTTGTTGCTGGCAAACTGCTCCACAAAGGTGTCGGTGAGCTAAGCGAATGAGTCAATGGAACCATTCGGGAGATTTGTGTACCACTGGAGTGCTGGACCAGAAAATCTTAAACCAAAACTCTTGCACATGCAAGCTTTCCTCAGTGCTCGGGGTATTAAGACAGTGAACATCCGCTGCTTGTACGAGGCTATGTGATCATCCGGGTCGGTTGTGCCGTCGTATAGTTTCATGTTAGGGATAGTAAACTTCTGGGTCATGTCGGCTAGGGCGATCTCATCCACAAAGGGTGAATCCGCGTAACAGTAGGGCCTACTCTTCTTGGTCAGGACCGACATTCCTGGGATACGCCACATCACTGCCTCTACATCGGCCAGCCTCTTGGCCAGTACTTGTTCCATAGGAGAGGGGGATACAACTAGGTCATCCCGTTTGACTAGGTTAGCCATCGCATTAGTCCTCGGTATATTTCGTTGGGTCATTCCGCACAATGTAGCCTGTAGATCATTCCTTCGTGTACACTATGGTAGCTTGGATCTCCAGTCATTCCCTTCGGTCGGATGACTCCCATGGTAACTGATCTGGTGTTTCGTCCTACATGAATGGTCAAGAGAGTTGTTTGATAGTCACTCGGTCCGTCAGGATGGGTGGGCTAGAGTGCGGTGGTTTGGTTGGATTAGCCGTTCAACCTGTAAGGGTGAGCCGAGCTGAGCCGAGCCGAATGATGTTCGCATTGGGATGGTTGACTGGAGGTGAGGTGGGATGGTGAGAATGGACTGGTCTTGCGGGTACAGGCTTTTTGTCACTTGGGCGTCTTGATCTCGAGGCTGGGGTGGATCGACTGAATGGGGTTCTGTTGGCATATCTTTTTCTCCGTGAGTCACGACCGAATCGTCGACCACCGATGAACTTACTGGACGAGGCCTTTTACCGGAGGCGGAGGCCGCGGGTCTGTGCTCTGGGGTTTGGAGAGGTTGCATGGATGGAACTGGGGCGCGGAACCGATTGGGAGGTACCTGGCTAGGCAAAAGCTCTAGACAGTAAAACTGACTCACCTTCTCTTCTGTTTCTCGGCCCTGATGGATGCGTTCTCGATCCGGATTGCATTGTTCTCGACTTCCAATGCGGCCACCTGTTTGAATTCTGTTGCATGAGGGCAGTCAGAGCCTCCAGTTTGTCCTCAAGGCTAGGGTTAGCGTTGTCTGAATTGTTAGCCATGGAATGTTCCTCTAAGTAGCAAGGTTCGTCGAGCCGAATGATTGCTAGAGGCCCTATGGTGGGCGCCAAACTGTAGACGTAAAAATCTACCTGTACGGAAAGGGGGTCTGATCCCGTGAGGTTGAGGCCACTAGCAATTCGCTGCACCTGCACACGTAGAGAAATAAGCGTGAAGCGAACGGAAAACACTGGGGTGGTGTTTGCAGTAGGCACTCCGACGCTCAAGTCAGCAAGGCTGAAAGAGGCTAATATAGTGAGGGCTAGGGAGTAGAGAGGTTACCAGAAGTCTAGTCGGGGACTGTGACTATGGCGATGATGTGAAGCTCTCCAGTAAGAGCTTCGGGTATGAAGGTGTAATGTGATCTCCTTGTGAGAGGGTTGGCCTCTGCTTATATAGTGACTATCTGGTCTCCCAATCCTGGTGGGAATAGGAGTCCTAGTGTGACTTTGATACGAACCCTAGAGGATTTAGGACGGTGGTGAGTTGTCTTACCAGTGTTCGAATAAGAATGTGATCCCGAATAGGAAGGTGACCTCGAACAGGAAAGTGATCCCGAATAGGAAGGTGATCTCGAACAGGAAAGTGATATGTGGGTGTCGTGGGCTCTGAACTCGCTCATAGGTCCAGGAAGTGAACTGGGATTTGGAGACCTAGACCTGGATGGTTTGGGCCGACTGTATCTCGTATCAAATGGGCCTAATCCAGATTGGGCCACATCGGGATTGGGCCTGGTCTCTTCCTCATTCAGTCCTTTTTTCCTATTTGGGCTAAGGACGATTTTTGGCCTTAACAATAATCAAATTACGTATATGGAAAAAATTGTCCTTACTCTTCAAAACCTCCATCTTCAAACTATCTTGAAAGAAAATGATGTTAATGTTAAAACATAGAATAGAAGGATATAATAAAAGTTTTTGTAGGATAATTAATAGACCCTGAAAATTAGTCAAGGTGTACATAAACTAGCCTAAACAAGTAAACACCCCAGTCATCAAAAAGTAAATAAATAAATAAATTTATGATTACACCAAAATGAGCAAGTCATGAACATTAAACATATTTATGAGGCTAGAACAAGTTTAATCTACCCTCCTTTCAAGAGAATGATATAATCACAAATATGAAATACCACATAATTCCACAATTAGCCAACACTAAACACAAAACATTAATCGCTTAATTAGTCATTCTCAAAACAACCACCACACAAAGCACAAATTATACCACGAAACAACCAATGACCGGATCATTTCATGGCCTCCAAAATCAACTTAGTCTGCTTCTTGATCAAATCATTCCGCTCCACAAACAACTACAACTGAGCAATTTGCAGCTTCTTCCACCTTTCCACCAATTCCGCATTTTTGGCTCCTCCAATCATAAGTAAACCCTCCTTGATTACAAACTCCTCCAAACTAGCCATCCCAACACTCTTATCAAACAAAATCATCTCTTTTTCACTGCTCAGGCTCCCTTTCTTATCATTATCAATATCCATCTTCTCCCTATCCCTAGCTCCATCATTCAACTCAGCTTTGAAAAGAGCTAAAGACTCACTACTCCCTTTCTGGTTTTGATTCTTTTTGGCTTCTACGTTATACTTTGTCGTCGATTCAAGGACACCACTAATACTTCCATTGCCCCACAGCTTTTTAGACAAATCATAAGCATGTCGTTCATGGAGTTTTGAAAAACTCCTATCTTCACCTTTCTTCCCTTTGCCAAGATTGTTCTCATACTTCTTCTTCAATCTCCTAATCTTGTCCATCACTTGAGTTCTTGTAACATCCACGTGAAGCGATTTCTTGATAAAATCATGAAAAGCATTCGTATCTTGATACAGGTCCATCCCTTTTTTCTTGGTGAAGGCAATCAGCCCCTTCAATATAGCAATTTCATCCTCCTCACTCCATAACCTTTGTAAAAGTTGCTTCTTCGTACCCTTTCGCGGCTTCTTCTAATCCTCATTATCTGAATCCGCACCCGCTTCCTTCTTCTTCGCCTGTTTCAAGTCTTTCAGAGACCTGCCCCGCTTATTGTTCTTTCATTAAGAATTTTTTTTTCCTTTACGAGATTGTATATAAAGTTAAAGTTAAATCATGGTTTTAATTAAGTTATGTATTTACTTTTATAATACTTTATAATATTTTTATTAAATTTATAGAAAAATAATTTAAATGAATAATTAATATATGTATTATTATTTTGTGAATTTTACAAAATAATAATACATGCCCTAAAAATAAATTTGATTAGTTTATTATAATTTACATAAAAGAATATACACAATTGTTTAATGTTAATGACTTACAAATTACACAAATACAGTTACCCTTTTAATTAATTAATTGATCAATTAATTATGATGTTAATTTTAATCAATGTTGGAAACTTGAGATAATAGGATTTGTCCTCTTTTCATTTGGGGAGTCCACATAACGGATAAAAATCTAAGACTGCTTTGATACAATTTATCACGGGCCAGACACTTGCAAACCACCGAAAATATTAGTTTATTATGTGACACTGGCTATAACCCTCAAGACAAACCCAAGACCCAACCCATGTTAGTATCACCTAACTACCTTTAATCCAAGACGAACCCAAGACCCAATCCATGTTAGCATCATCTAACTACCTTAATCCAAGACCTAATCCATGTTTATCCCACGTGATAGCACAACAATATATGACTTAGGACAATCAAAAAAGTATAGCATGGTATAAACTTCTTTCAAAACCTACTGTAACGAAAACACTGCTCTATTTTATGTCAAGTTAGTTAAGCCCAGCAAAACCAGTTGGGTTGGCTAGATAACTGCATGAGAAGCTACATTAAAAATTGCCTAGGCTCACTGACACATATATCATCAATTAAAAGAAGAGCTTTCAAGTGAAGTGGTAAATGAACTTTGAACTAGACCATGAGCAAAGAGGCAAGGCATAAAACTGAAACTATTTTCTTTATTCTAATGTACTCCAGACTAAGAAAATTAACTTCTTTGGAAAAAGCATAGCAAAAGTGGTTTCGGACATTTTGCCTTCCTAATATCACCTAACATACCATCTATTACTCAAGATCCGTTCCCCTTCTCTGCGGTAACTGCATGCATGCGATGTCTTCACGAGGGAGAGTGTACATTGATGCATTACCAGAACCATTAGATGTGTGTCGACTTTCATCTGTTGTTAGTGCCAAAAGGTGTGTAGCCTCCTTGTTTTTACGGAAGACCAGGTAAGCTACTCCAGCTAAATAGACTGCAATGGCTGAAAAACCAAATATTCCCAAAAAGATGGCTTCCACGAGTTTTAGAGGGCCATGAAAAAGAAACTTGATGAAACTGGTTACAAGATAGTATATGTTTATCGACATTATCAGCGAACCAATGATCCAAGTGATAGATGAAATCTGTCAGGAGAGATATAAAGAAGAAATATCAGCCCTCTAATGATGATGCTCTAGACTTTGATTCTAATTGCTGTCCTGCATGCAATTAAGGCGAAATGGAAAATGCAACAAAAACAGATATATTTTCCAGATTCTATAGTGTTAGAACCTCCCCATATCTAATGTCCATACTCAATGACATGCAAGACAACGATGTTCATCCCTTAACATGTGAAAATCATCAACAAATATCTACAATGTTTTAGCGGTGTTTGCAGGAAAGATAACAAAAATGCTTGGATTGCCTCTTTAACCACTTGAAAATATAAATCAAGCAACAAGCATAAAGTTTTACCGCAGTTGAGTTGGCGTGTGCCCCCATCTTGACCTTGCTGCTAGTAAACTTGAGAAGCGGAACAAGTGCGAATGGAAGCTCAAATGAGAGAATCATCTGCCAAAAAACGTCTAAGGTATGTGAAAAGTTTGGCTTTAAAAGATAAAATGCACCAATAAAACTGCTTTTCTTTCTAATCACTTTTGACAGCGATGTGAAACAGAGATGACTTGTGGTAATTAAGTACTGAGAAGAATAAAATATTATATTCTTCTAGCGGATGCAATCCTAAATACAAAAATACAATGGAACTAAGTGTACAGATATTGGTCTTCAAATGTCTTCTAAACATAACGCAGAGGCCACAACAGATCACTTCAATGAGATCTGCCATATATCATTTTATCTAAGGCAATCACTATAACAGAGCCATTTAACCATTTAACCAGGTTTTCCCTTTAATTAATCTTGGTTTCTATTGCAAATTGTGTCAGTTACCGATGCAATAATAATTAGTTGTCCAGCCCCAGCAGAACCACCAATCAATGCAACAATTAAACTAGGGACTATCGCCAAGCACCGAGTTAGGAAGTTCCTAAGCCATGGCCTCAAGCGCAGGTCAAGAAAGCCCTACAAAACAGGATGAAATGAAAATGTTGTCAAACAAAAAACAAGATGTTCCACAGAAAGCAAATATAAAGCAACAAACATGCATTTTAACCAAGTTGACGATCATATACATAAGTTCTATCAGGTAATTTCCGGAAAATAACATGTGTTGAGCATTGACTTTATCAAGATGGTAAATTGACCAAGAAACATCTTAATTGTTCAATGAAAATTTGGTAGGTAAGCGAAAGAGTATAAATTAAACACCAACTCAAGGAAAGGATGCTCAGTTGTGCAATTCAATTATTAATGAATTATCCATTTCAGAGAAGAGAGACACGCACTTATGCCAGTAAGTTCATATCCTTAAAAACCTCAGGAAATAGGCCCAGATAAAGTGACAAGATTATATTTTTACTTGAGATATTCATATTCATAGACCAGAGAAATATAGACATACAATAACAAGAATCATAAAATACCTGCATGACATATTGCCCTGCATAGGTTCCTGTTATTGTAGAACTTTGACCTGATGCCAACAAAGCAATTGCAAAAAGTTTCGAACTCCAACTACCTAAGACATTCTGTAAACAATATATATAAACTGGTATCACTAAAAAGAACAAAGTATACTTCCGGAAGAAAATGAAAATTATGAAAAAAGTACTATCTTCTAGAAACTAATGCTAGGTAAAAAGACATTTGAAATATCGAACAAATGTTGCCAGATTACATACTCTAAGTAAAAAGGAGGCTTTGTTTAAATCCAAGTCTTTGCAACTATCTTGATCTTCAGGATTCATATTTGAAGAACTGCAAACTGCACCACTGACGGAAATAACTGATACATTAATGAGAAATGCCACTGATAGAGCAAAGCCACTTTCGATCATATAAAATCTGCAGGCCTCCTGTGAACAACAATGGCGTCAGAATACATTATGTTAAGAAGCCGCTAAAACCAGAAGCTTTAGTTCATCAGAAAAGTCCAATAATAGTATCTAAGCTTTAAAAACGTCCTCACTATAGCACGGATCTAGACACAAAGGAAGATTCAAATACAAATTCTATGTTAATCGGTATAAAGTTAATGAATAAGAGCAATGTTCTGATTTTATACCAGAAATCTCCTAATCTTGTCCATCACTTGAGTTCTTGTAACATCCACGTGAAGCGATTTCTTGATAAAATCATGAAAAGCATTCGTATCTTGATACGGGTCCATCCCTTTTTTCATGGTGAAGGCAATCAACACCTTCAATACAGCAATTTCATCCTCCTCACTCCGTACCCTTTGAAAAAGCTGCTTCTTCGTATCCTTTCGTGACTTCTTCTGATCCTCATCATCTGGATTTGCACCCGTTTCCTTCTTCTTCGCCCGTTTCGAGCCTTTCAGAGACCTGCCCCGCATATTGTTCTTTTATTACGATTTTTTTTTTCCTTCCATATTGTATATAAAGTTAAAGTTTAAATCTTGGTTTTAATTAACGTATTTACTTTTATAATATTTATATTAAATTTATAGAAAAATAATTTAAATGAAAGAGTCTAATAATTAATATATGTATTATTATTTTGTGAATATCATAAAATAATAATACATACCCCAAAAATAAATTTGATTATATTATTATAATTTACATATAAGAATATATACAATTGTTTAATGTTAACGACTTACAAATTACACAAATATAGTTATCCTTTTAATTAATTAATTGATCGATTCATTATAATATTAAACTTAATCAATGTTGGGAACTTGGGATGATAGGAAGGATTTGTCCCTTTTACAAATTGACTAATTTTATTAATTGTAGTGGAGACAGTGTTTTATAATTAATTAATCAATTTACCTAATAAATTATGTTAAGATTGAATATAATTATATTAATTCTATGAAAAATTAATTAATTAACTAAGCATAAGCATGCATACAATTGAATAATTCTTCAATTTAACTTGTAAATTATGTTAAGATTGAGTATAATTATATTAATTTTATAAACAATTAATTAATTAACTAACAAGGCTAACTAAGCTTAAGCCTTCATACAATTGAATAATTAATCAATTTACCTAGTAAATTATGTTAAGATTAGATATAATCGTATTTATTCTATAAAAAATTAATATGGGAGTGACTCTATCCCCACAGGCTAGGGACGGACATGAGAATTGTCCCCAACCTCGGGGACGAGCATGAGGGCAGAAACGGGGAACAGGGAACAAAGAACAAGGCCCGACTTGACCCCGACCCCGACCCCACCCGATCTGCACCCATCCCTAAAGAACTGATGTGAATGTGTGAATATTGTGAACTAACAGGGTGTATTTGTCATTTTTTAAATTAATAGGGGGTAATATACCTTTATAGGATACCCGGGAAAGGAGCCAGGACCTAATCCATGTTTATCCCACCTGATAGCACAACAATATATGACTTACAGGACAATCAAAAAAGTATAGCATGGTATAAACTTCTTTCAGAACCTACTGTAACTAAAACACTGCTCTATTTTATGTCAAGTTAGTTAAGCCCAGCAAAACCAGTTGGGTTGGCTAGATAACTGCATGAGAAGCTACATTAAAAATTGCCTAGGCTCACTGACACATTTATCATCAATTAAAAGAAGAGCTTTCAAGTGAAGTGGTAAATGAACTTTGAACTAGACCATGAGCAAAGAGGCAAGGCATAAAACTGAAACTATTTTCTTTATTCTAATGTACTCCAGACTAAGAAAATTAACTTCTTTGGAAAAAGCATAGCAAAGGTGGTTTCGGAGATTTTGCCTTCCTAATATCACCTAACCTACCATCTATTACTAAAGATCCGTTCCCCTTCTCTGCGGTAACTGCATGCATGCGATGTCTTCACGAGGGAGAGTGTACATTGATGCATTACCAGAACCATTAGATGTGTGTCGACTTTCATCTGTTGTTAGTGCCAAAAGGTGTGTAGCCTCCTTGTTTTTACGGAAGACCAGGTAAGCTACTCCAGCTAAATAGACTGCAATGGCTGAAAAACCAAATATTCCCAAAAAGATGGCTTCCACGAGTTTTAGAGGGCCATGAAAAAGAAACTTGATGAAACTGGTTACAAGATAGTATATGTTTATCGACATTATCAGCGAACCAATGATCCAAGTGATAGATGAAATCTGTCAGGAGAGATACAAAGGAGAAATATCAGCCCTCTAATGATGATGCTCTAGACTTTGATTCTAATTGCTGTCCTGCATGCAATTAAGGCGAAATGGAAAATGCAACAAAAACAGATATATTTTCCAGATTCTATAGTGTTAGAACCTCCCCATATCTAATGTCCATACTCAATAACATGCAAGACAACGATGTTCATCCCTTAACATGTGAAAATCATCAACAAATATCTACAATGTTTTAGCAGTGTTTGCAGGAAAGATAGCAAAAATGCTTGGATTGCCTCTTTAACCACTTGAAAATATAAATCAAGCAACAAGCATAAAGTTTTACCGCAGTTGAGTTGGCGTGTGCCCCCATCTTGACCTTGCTGCTAGTAAACTTGAGAAGCGGAACAAGTGCGAATGGAAGCTCAAATGAGAGAATCATCTGCCAAAAAACGTCTAAGGTATGTGAAAAGATTGGCTTTAAAACATAAAATGCACCAATAAAACTGCTTTTCTTTCTAATCACTTTTGACAGCGATGTGAAACAGAGATGACTTGTGGTAATTAAGTACTGAGAAGAATAAAATATTATATTCTTCTAGCGGATGCAATCCTAAATACAAAAATACAATGGAACTAAGTGTACAGATATTGGTCTTCAAATGTCTTCTAAACATAACGCAGAGGCCACAACAGATCACTTCAATGAGATCTGCCATATATCATTTTATCTAAAGCAATCACTATAACAGAGCCATTTAACCATTTAACCAGGTTTTCCCTTTAATTAATCTTGGTTTCTATTGCAAATTGTGTCAGTTACCGATGCAATAATAATTAGTTGTCCAGCCCCAGCAGAACCACCAATCAATGCAACAATTAAACTAGGGACTATCGCCAAGCACCGAGTTAGGAAGTTCCTAAGCCATGGCCTCAAGCGCAGGTCAAGAAAGCCCTACAAAACAGGATGAAATGAAAATGTTGTCAAACAAAAAACAAGATGTTCCACAGAAAGCAAATATAAAGCAACAAACATGCATTTTAACCAAGTTGACGATCATATACATAAGTTCTATCAGGTAATTTCCGGAAAATAACATGTGTTGAGCATTGACTTTATCAAGATGGTAAATTGACCAAGAAACATCTTAATTGTTCAATGAAAATTTGGTAGGTAAGCGAAAGAGTATAAATTAAACACCAACTCAAGGAAAGGATGCTCAGTTGTGCAATTCAATTATTAATGAATTATCCATTTCAGAGAAGAGAGACACGCACTTATGCCAGTAAGTTCATATCCTTAAAAACCTCAGGAAATAGGCCCAGATAAAGTGACAAGATTATATTTTTACTTGAGATATTCATATTCATAGACCAGAGAAATATAGACATACAATAACAAGAATCATAAAATACCTGCATGACATATTGCCCTGCATAGGTTCCTGTTATTGTAGAACTTTGACCTGATGCCAACAAAGCAATTGCAAAAAGTTTCGAACTCCAACTACCTAAGACATTCTGTAAACAATATATATAAACTGGTATCACTAAAAAGAACAAAGTATACTTCCGGAAGAAAATGAAAATTATGAAAAAAGTACTATCTTCTAGAAACTAATGCTAGGTAAAAAGACATTTGAAATATCGAACAAATGTTGCCAGATTACATACTCTAAGTAAAAAGGAGGCTTTGTTTAAATCCAAGTCTTTGCAACTATCTTGATCTTCAGGATTCATATTTGAAGAACTGCAAACTGCACCACTAACGGAAATAACTGATACATTAATGAGAAATGCCACTGATAGAGCAAAGCCACTTTCGATCATATAAAATCTGCAGGCCTCCTGTGAACAACAATGGCGTCAGAATACATTATGTTAAGAAGCCGCTAAAACCAGAAGCTTTAGTTCATCAGAAAAGTCCAATAATAGTATCTAAGCTTTAAAAACGTCCTCACTATAGCACGGATCTAGACACAAAGGAAGATTCAAATACAAATTCTATGTTAATCGGTATAAAGTTAATGAATAAGAGCAATGTTCTGATTTTATACCTTTACACAATTTAGAGTTTTACATAAATCACAAACGATTTCCTCACCCATTGGTCTGATAAATATTGTATAACTACTTAATCTAAAAGCTTAAATTGTTAAGGGCCTAACAATTCTATATATACTCTCAGCAAATACGAGACACCTAGAGTTAATTCTCTATAATTGTGTTTAAGCCCAAAAAGGTACCTTACCTGTAACATGAATCTAGATAAAAATGCAAATGAAAACTCGAAACTAATACTATTGCACTACTGCAGATATGATGCAGACATGTGAGATGTGGAGAACTGATAACACAACCTCTTGCACTGATATAATGTGAAGAAATCACAAAACCTAGAAGTTTAAGCCGATAGATAAGGGTAACAATAGTATTTAAGCTCCAACATCAATGATGTATAGACCAAATCTCCAGCAAAACTAGTCTACAAGATTTAAACTTCACCTTGATGCCTCGAACAGATCTTGGGATTTTTCTAGAAAGCACCAATGCTGAGTGCAGGAAGAGATTGTGCCTACAAAAAGATATGAACAACAACAAACAAGATGAGAACTTTCAATTAGTATTTAAATATTTAGAAGTTGGAAGAAATATGAAACCTACGGCATAACCATAGCACCAAGAAGAGAAATTGCAAGACCAGTAGCACCATTTCCTTTGAGTTGGGGAACAAAAAGGCCATACAAAACTTCTTTAGCATCAGGCTTTGCATAGCCAAGCTCAGCCAAAAAGCATCCAGCCATTGTAAATACAAGAAAAGCAATAAAAAATTCGAGCTTCCTAACCTGCAAAACAAAAGACATGAAAACTTAAGTTGATTTCATTTTTTTGTGGTCTTACATATTTTAGTCGCACCAGACTAATAAAGCAATTTCACTTTCCTAGCCGATACAGATTCAATGAACCATTCATTTGCAGTTTCATCTAGATGTATACCATATACGAAATCTATCAACATACCCCATATTGTTGTAATGCTAGAAGAATCAATGTACTCAACCCAGTTAGAAGGACACCAATCCATACTGGGATTTTAAAGAGCATATTCAAAGCAAAGGCCGTTCCAATCACTGGAAATAGAAAGAATTGATCAGTCAGATTAGGTTGAACAGCAAGTATCAGGAAATATTGATACTAAAGAGAAATGCTGCATATAGAGTAAGCCTCTCTTATCATTGACTGCAAACATACAAGCAAACATATATGTGCATATATAACATATTTTAAATAAGTTATTAAATCCCATTTATACAGCTTCATTGTATGTCTACCACAGGAACAAAAGTTCATTTCATTTAGGAGTCAGTCATTTCCATCATATGCGCCATGCTATCAAGTTCTACATAGGTATGAACTCTAATTAAGCCAAAAATGCAAATGTAATATAAGATGCAAGTGTGCTCATGACGAGTATGCCCAACCAATAAGGACTCTGCTTCAAGACAGAAAAAAGACGACAACCCTTACTGAATCTCAATTTTAATCATTAAATTCAGATAAAGAGAGAAAAACAAGGATATGTTGTGACCAGGGAAAAAAGAAACAAGGAAAAAGAAGATGCATCTTCAGTAGAACCTTAAAATTTTTGCTAATCTTGCACCTGGGACCTAGTGTGAGAGCTTGCAAGTCAAAACCTATAATTGTATAAGAATTGACCATTAAACTTAAACTAGCATCTTTTTTTTATTTTTTATTTTTCCTGTGTGTCTGTGTTGGCTAGGTGCATCTTTTAGTCTATATGGTAATTAAGCATAGCCTTGTTTGATTAAGGACAATAATATTTTCTCTCTAAATTACCTAGATCAATATGTCTAGATATGCAACCTATTTGCATAAGTGCTTAGATTTCAAGACAATTAAGCAATAGAAATGAGAGTATTCATATTACTCAATTACAAGCAAATGAGAGATATGCTTACCTTCAGGTATGTCACATGCAACTATAGCAATTTCAGCAAGGACCCATAAGATGAAGTTTGGCACCCTAGGATATTCACTTCTACAGTGTTCTGCTAAATGCTTTCCTACAATCAAAGAAAGAACATTCGGAATAAAAAGTTGTATCAGTACTGACATTGAAACTAGATTTGTAGTACATATGGCCAGGGTTATAGATCACAGACCTGTGACAACACCAAGATTGGCCGCGAGGGACTGAATAATTAAAGCAGCACATGAAGCCACTAATATGATCCAAAGTAACTGCAACAAAAGAAAAAAGTCTCTCAAGAAGAATACATGATGTTGAATTCAGAAACGAACTCCAGGTGAATTCATTTAGGAATTAATGTGACTTTTCAAAACATGCCTTAATTTCTGTTTTGTGAATTGCACAGCAGCACAAGTCAAGAAACTAATTTCACCTTGTATCTCTACCAAGACACAAATAAAATAGACTATATAACATGGCCACTTGATACAGCATCTCTTTTGTACCACTTCTTTGGCTGAAAAGATATTTTTTTAATTCCTTAAACTTATGAAAATTATGAACAATTAGATTAATTTCAACAGTGATTAATTTTAACATTCGAACACTCCTTTAAGCATAATCATGAAAATTTAAAGGGAAAAAAAAAGAGTTCAACAAAACAAAATAATGGGAGGAGTCCTTCAACTTAAGGATGAAATCCGCACCTCATACTTGTATAGCGCTCCTGACTGTAGATCCGTCTCAACTGTAAGTTATCCACAAATTATAAAGAGCGTATACTGATTAGAAGCTTTGTAATTTTTGGTTTCTCAGAAGGAAAGAAAACTACTGAACTTACAATTTCCAGGATCTATATATGCAATGGAAACAAGGAATCCAGGACCCATATAAGCAAATAAGTTTTTCCAGCTCGTATTCTGCATGAATGCAACATAAATTATCACATATCATGCTATTCTGATTTAAGTAAACAATTACATCACAAAGACTTACTGCAGTTGATCCCTGTATAATATATTCAATCAAAAGTTTCATATTGGTAGCAATGCAAAAATCTAAAAAGGATTGCCCTGTTATTAAAATTCCAAAACTGAGGCAAATGGCACCAATAAGTGTCTTGCAACCACTATTCACGAAAGAATGAAAACACGTAGTAAGCATCCTAAGTCCAAAGGCCAAGAAACTAATTAATAGAAACTACAACCTTTAAGTAGCTAGTCAATTAATTAGTCAGGAAAACTCCTATACGAATAACCCATCCTTCACTTGTGCACTACATTGCAGCTCTGCACCCTCAAATTTATTCCTGTTCCCTTATTTTGAACAAACTAATTAAAAATTCTTAACAATTACAAGAGGATTCACGGAAGTTCCCAAAGCCGAATGAACTTAATAAATATCTAGACAACATATCAAATACATCAATATCTAGCTCTTGATAAATGTATAACATTTTCGTTCTTATTTTTTAAAAATACTCCAGCATTAATGACGAATATACAACCAAAAGCATCCATGTTCAGTATAAACACTGCTAACATCTAGCTTTTCCTCTTGAAACAATTATTAACTCCATTGCAAGAGTAGCTTTCTTGGTTTTAAATTCCACTCTATTCCATCTTATCCTCCCTGTAAAGTTATCAGATGGTCCTTCTGTTCAAAAAAGTATAATTTTTTTTATGAATGTAATGCCCTCCCCTGATGCCACCTTCAATATAGCCACCTATTTTGACTCAATCTGCTTCTCCAACCATGTTATTAAATTAATGATTCGATACACAAAATTCCACAGGTTATAGTTTTTGTTGCGACCAGCACTTCATAATGGTTAAAAAAATATAATCCTCAACTAACCACACTATTTTATCAATTGCTTGCTTAGTAAATACACCTGATAAATTAAATGTCCAACCAACTCAACTCATTATAACCATCTCTCATAAAACACTTAATTCTATTGGAAAAATGAAACACCAAACTAAAGGAAACATAGAGTTCATGAATATTTACAAACAATTTAACAAGATTGCATCCCCACAGGAGCAATTACTGAATTTTGGGGATGATCTATAACAACTGAGGGACCACATGGAGTTTTGGGGGATTATAACATCCCCATGCCTATAATATTCGATAAAGGCATCCAGCCATTTCATTTCCTTGACAACAAGAAACTCCAAGTTCTACAAAGGTCACTGGTATAGCCATAAATTTATCAGCAATATGCAGATACAACTCTTTATATGCATATTCGACTTTTAAGGCTACATGGCTAGAAAACAACTAGGTTAAAAGAACATAAAAAACCAATCCACTAAAAAGTGTCTCTAAATTGCATGCAGATGTTTGGACAGATTTGTAATAGTAAGATACGAAACGTAATATCCAAAAAGGACCACAAGTTAAATTGAATAGGTAAGACTTCAGCAGCTTGTGCTCAATGGAAGCAGATATCATTTTATCAATAGTACTAGGTTCAAAGCTGATAATGCTAATTACTTAATAATAAGTCATAACATGGACTTATCTCTAGATTGACTTTTCTAACTCACATTCCCAAAGTCCCTTTCCAATATCTAACCAAGATAATTAATAATAGAGACAACCAACCAATTGAAGCGTTCACGAAACAAAAATTTGAAAAAGTAAAATGATAGTGATGATGATCGGGATGATGAACTCAAATTACTTTAAAAAACCATGTCTAAGTGCAGCCCCTATCACGGAATAATGACCATTGCAGCCGGTAAGATATTAGTTGATAAAAAGTTTTATGCAAGTAGTATCTAAGAAACAACTACAATATTATTCTTACTTAACTTCACTTTTTCAATACAACCCAAACCATCTTCATCAACCACAAATTGTAGCCACACCAAAAAACTTCCATGCGATTACCAACTAAAATAAAGATTTAAATCCCAAAAAAAGATTTTCTGCAACCCATCTTAAGCCTGAAAAGGCACAAAGTTTCAGGGCTCATCAAACAAATTATTTCACAAAGTCAATCAATTTACAAGCAAACACAGAAATGATACTATGAATCATGATAATACTAGAAATTAAAAACTCACATCGGGCACGACAATTTGGTCAGTTTCTTCATTCTCAATCAGTGGTGTATTCGAAAAGCTCCGGTTTCCGCCAGTGCTAGCAATGAATTGTGGCTGCCCAGATGTTGCAGCCGCCATAGCCACTTTTTTGTTTCTTTATGTTATTCTGATCAATCACAAAAGATGAAGTTTCAATCGCATGAACAATATAATTCAGGCATCACTCTACTTGGAAAACTGAAACAATAAATTAGAGTTTTAGTTTGCATTTGAAAAAGGTGAAAAGTTGCACTTAAAAACATGCAATGACTGATCAGCACGATTCTGAAAAAAAAAAAACTTCAGAACTGAAAATCTTCAAAGGAATATATAAATTGAATTTAATATAAACAAGATTTATATGTAAAGTGCTGCATGATTAGAATTCACACTTCGTTTGGTTGTCGAGAAACTGAAAGAAAATAAAATAAAAAAAATCGAACGTTTGAGGTAAGTAGAATTATTATATTCAATAAAATGAAAAACCCACCACGGGTAAACAAAATAAAAACATATAAAAATAAAAACCAAGAATAAAATACAAATGAAAAGAAAAAGCTGATATATTTTCCCACGTTTTCTCAGCAAACAAACAGAAAACAAACTCTAAATCCAATCAAAAAGCGAAGCAAATGGCCACACAAGGCAGTCTTGCAAATATATTCCATATTCATTATCTGGGTTAAGACCAAAATAAATAAAAATTTAGAAACTTTTTGGTTACATATCCCAGGAAACCAAACAGCAAGACGAAAAAGAAAAAAGCATTCCCAGTTGACACAGAACAAACCTTGAAATAAGAAAACGTTGAGAAAGAAATTGTTGACAATGAAGAGTGGCGAGCCTTGATACGTATTTATACAAAAACAAATGGCGCATAGGGAGCTGTTTGGAAAGTTGTTTTTAGTTTGTAAAGAGGAGTCTCTATCACTTTGACACTTCAGTTTTGTCCCTGCTGTCTTTTGGAGTACTTGTGGAAAAGGATTGAGTTTTACCATAATTCATATGAGCACTTTTCTATATAAGAATAATTTACCATACAAAGACATCTCAATTTTAAACTTGAATTTGATATAGTTTTGAATTGATAACATTATACATAATGAATCCGAGTTTTTAATTAGAGGCCTCACCTAACTCTAATACGATGAGTTTTATCGGTAATTCATTTAAAATCTTTTTTATATGAAATAATTTATCATACAGAATTGACATCTCAATTTTAAATTTTAATTTGATACAATTTTGAATTGATAACATTATGCTTAATGAATCCAAGTTTACAACTTGATGCAAACATGATTATAATAGATTTTTACCAACACGAAACTTCAGAATTTTTTTTATTTATCTAATTATAATTATCTTTTAAGTTTTATTTTATCATTTTTATGATAATTATTATCAAAATTTTATTTTATACAGAATTATTGTTATAATTTCAGTTTTTTAGGTATTTTCAAAATCAACTAGTCTTACCTTCAATGCATGTGTGTTTAACGATAATTTTTAAGCTATTAAATCGTAAATATGGTAAATACATCTCTTGTGACTCGAACACAAGACCCTCCTGGATATAGTTAACCCCAATGGCTAAAAGATTTGTCATCCGACCACAAGAGGAGAGGTTAAAATCATCGTATTTATGATGGTTAAAACTTGCATTGCTATCTTGATATAAATTATGAAATTTGAGACATTGAATCAACTTATGTAGAATGCTCAAGATATATCATATATCTCAATTATTGAATTGAATTATTCTAATATATGAGGGTGTTGAACTTGCCTATATTTATATTGCCTTACAATATAATTAGTTGGGATAGAATATTTAACTTAAATTCATACAATAATACTTTATATTGCAAATTTCATGTACAAACTTTTAAATGGAAACTAATGTAATGCACCAGTGAATAAAAAATAAAATTTAACTCAATGCATGTTTAATCACTCCAAATTTTGGTAATTAGTGAAAACTATAAGATAAATTTTTTAAAAGAAGCAATGGATGTATCTAAAATTAGCAACGTGATATTTTTTAAAAACTTTGAAATCCAACAGTTTTTCTATTTGAAAATGGAAATTTAAAAAATGTGTGCTGAAAATTATTACAACATTTATACACAGGTTTAATAAGATATTATTTAGATTTTTTCCTGTCCAAATAAAAGCTTAATGACACTTTTCCCACCCTAAAAATTTCAAAATACAACTTTGCTACCCAAACATTATATTACGTTAATAGTTTCTGTGAAACCTTAGATATGGCTAATATTCCTGGAAGGGGGTGAATTGGAATGAAAACTATCACCACAAACAGTGTGTTTAACGAAACAATGTTCAATAAATAAACTCAATAACCAAATAATGACAATAATAATGATAATATTAATGAGCAATAAAGACACCAAAAAAGAACAATAAATAATAAATGTAATCAAGTTATAATGATGCACAAGCAATAAATGTGAGCAAAGAATTAATGTGAAAGAGTGATAAATAAGTTGAGAGAGAGAGAGAGAGAGAGAGAGAGAGAGAGAGAGAGAAACGCTTAGAGATTTATAGTGATTCGGAGTTATATCCACAAGTCTCCTACATCCACTTCTTCATGACAACCTCATTTAAGTTCCACTAAAATCGGATTACGCCAATACAATAGTTTTATAGGATTTCACCAATACTTTCTCTAGTTTTATAAGATTTCACCAACACACACTAGATTTACAGGATTGCAATAGTTTTACAAGATTTCGCCAACAAGGTTTTAATCAAAGTGTTTTGTGAATGATTGCCTCTTATCATTAGGCTTATACACACAATAAGAACAAAGACACTCTTAAAGGTTTACAATATAAATGTAAGTGAGAGTATTTGATTTGGATTTTGAGCTCTAAGGGGGCGTTTGGTTCAGGAATGTTAGATTACTAGGAATGTTGAATTACTGGAAAGATAGATTACCTTGAAAGATTACTGGGAATCTTTAGAAAAATATATTTGGTTAGTTGGTGGGTATATTATATTAATATGTTTGGTTATGGGGAATAAATTGGTGGGTATGCTATTTAAATTACTAAATTGTCCCCCTTTTAAATATTAATATAAAATATTTTTATTATTAATTTTTGAATAATTTTTTTTACCCCCAATATTTCAGATTTAGCTAAAACACCTCCGCTTATATACAACTTTAATTTATGACGAAATCACCCCCACCTCCTGCCGCCACCGCGAACCACCGCCGGATGTCCCCGTGAGTACGTCACCGTGACGAAGAGGCTCCGCTATGGCCGTTTTTGGCCATATTGATGGCCGAAAAAGGACATATCGGGCCAGATCTGGCCCGATATGTCCGTTTTCGGCCATCAATATGGCCAAAACCACCAGAGCGAGCCTCCCGAGCCTCCCACAGAATTTCCAGTATTTTTAGGGACTCCGGCAATTTTTCGGCGGTGGTCCGTGGTGGTTGACCCGTTGTCCGCTGTGTTGGCTGGGTGGCTGTGGTGGTGGTGGCTTGGTGGCAGTGGTGGTCTGTAATATTTTAATATAAGCATTATTGTCCAAATTTTAATTAAACAGGGTAAAATTGAAATAGGATATTAATTTAAATTTGTTTAAGTAGGGTATTATGTCCAAAATTTTTATTAATAAGGGATAAAATTGTAACAAAAAAAGATAACCCTGGTAATCTATAAAACCAAGAAAATAGAGGTAATCAGATTACCTCTTATATTACCAATAGTAACTACTATTGGTATTTGAAGATTACTGGTATTATATTACTTGACCCACAAACGTGGTAATCAAATATAAGATGACATTACCCCAGTAATGTCACTTAACCCCGAACCAAACTACCCTAAGGTTATATGAAATGTTCTCTTATTTTACATGACTCTTCTCTACCTTTGCATAAAGAAGTTGAGCTTTTATATCCTTCAAATTTGGTTGTTGCTTCATTTAAGTGCAACTTTGAAAAGTCCCAGAACCCAGAGGAACGGTCTTCCATAATCGCGAACGGTCGCTCTTGACACAACGGATCCTTTTTCTCAGATCTAAGGTTTATGGAATAATCATTCCACCACACCATATGATCGTGCAAAGGCATCGTACGGTCATTCCACCATGCGAAATGGTCTAACCAAAGGCTCTTCCAAATCCATAAAATTTCAAGAGGCATGCATACTTCTTAGAACATTGTCATGCGTTTAGACAAAAATCTGCAGATAGGAACTGTTGTTCCCCCACAGAAGACGATCATGCCATTTTTGATACTTGAGTTTTTGACCTGACCTACAGATTGACTTTTGAAGAATAGTTAAGAGCGGAAGGATATGAATTTGAAATATCTTGACTTTTAACTTGAATGGAACGGTCGTGTAAGATGGTCGTGCCAGAGTGAGTGATGTCACACATTTTGGCAGTGTTGCTGACTATGGAACGATGTTGTGGAAGATGGTATGTTTATATGGGTAGCTTTTTTTGATATTGAACGGTCGTGTCTTGATTGCGCATGGTCATAACACTTGAAAAATCTACTTACGCACGGTCATACCACTTGAACAATCTGTTATGGTTTGGTTATGACTTGTGTCATACTTTAGCATTTCTTTTTTGTTGATCAATCAACTTTTTGGTTAGTTTTGGCACATCAAACACATAAAAGACCAACATTTCCGTTAAATATTGTGGTATTCTTTGTGAAAACGAAATACCCTTTACTACTTGACATTAAATTACCAATTTGTCCTTATTTTTTTTCTCATCTCTTTCCTTTCTTCTTCTTCCTCTCTTTCTTTTTTCTTTCTCTGTCCTTCTCTTCTTCTCTTTCCTCTCTCAATCACCTAGCCGTTTCTCTCTTTTTTTCTATCGTCCCCTTCTCTTCTCTTTTATTTCTTCCTTATTTTTCTCTCTTTCCCTTTCCCTTTCTTCTCTTCTTACTTTCCTCTCTCTGGCGGTGGTGTTGTTTACTCCCTTTCTTTTTCCTCAAAGTCGTTGATCGAGAGAAGACTTGCTTGTTTGATATGATTTCTCGATTGATGATTGTTGTGTGTTGCGGTGATTGTGTGAGAAAGAAGTGAAGTTTGGTGTGTTTGGGTCGTGTTTTGCGCACAAGAAGTTTGAAGTTCGTTGGACCGGCCAAATCACAAACCACCACTACAGCTGATTCCAGCAGCCAAAACCCCACCCTACCTCACTTCACCCCCTTAACGAAACCCTTAGCATCCCAACTCTGGTCACTTGCCGAACCCATCCACCACCCTTTTCGTTGTTGTGCAAGACATCATGACTGAGAGCTAACTAGAGTTTTTTTTTTTTTTTTTTTTTTTTTTTTTTTTTTTTTTTTTTTTGAGTTGTTTTGAAAGGATTTTGACTTTTTAGAGTCCCTTGTTGTTGTGGATTGATTGTACAAATTTCCCTATCGTCGGCCACCAATCCACCTACCTTTGGAACACACCGACAACCGTTCGATTTTTTTATTTTGAGGCATAATGTTAATTGATCATCCTACCTTTACTTATAACGGACTTTTAAACCATTATGCCCTTCTTCACAATGAAATTTACTACGAATTTGTGTTGTGGGTAGTAAAGTTAATTTTGAAACTTTTGTGTGAGAAAGTGTCATCAAGTCATTATTTCGGTTGGGGAAAAGTCTTACTATATTATTTATTACATGCATATTTGTTTCAAAAGGGTTCAATACAAGATTATTACATGTACATTTATTAAAAAGTTTTCAATTATCATATGATATAGAAGAAAAAAATACATCCGTAAATTTTTTCAAAAAAAAATTTGGTGATTAACATGTGTTTGTTCTTGGATCTAGAAAAAGATACCATTGACTTGGGATAAAAAACCTAAATATTTAGCTAGTCACCATTTTCAATGTATGAAATTTAGCACTAATCTA